AATGAGTAGGACGGGGTGTATTTTTGATAAGTATATCAGCAAGATTGTGTACCTGATTTGGAGAACACCTTGGGATTGTAAATCACGGATGTGATGAAGGCGAATGTCTACATATTCAAGGTATTTGATGGTACCGGTGTCAGTGATGACGTGGATGGCTGATTTGTTGTCACAATAGAGAGGAGTGGGGGTATGTTGTGGGAAGCCGATTTCATTATGTATGTTGCGAAGCCACAGAAATTTATTTTTTTGCCATCTTCGGAAGCGGCGTAGTATTCAGCCTCAATTGTGCTGGTAGTAACTGTCTTCTGGTGTTTTGATTTCCAGACATCAGGAACGCCATTTATACGAAGTACGAAACTGCTGGTGGAACGACGTGTGTCAGGGCAAGCGTTATAATCAGAGTCCACATAGGCGTCAGCGATGGGCGGCCCATCTTGGTAGCGATAGGTAAGTCCGAGAGTGGGGGTATCCTTAAGATACCGGAGGTTACGTTGAGCGGCAATCCAATGTGTGAGAGATGGGTTGGTCATATAGCGTGTGAGGTTATTGATAGAATAGCTAACATCAATGCGGGCGAGAACAGATAAATACTGTAGGGTGCCGATCAATTCACGGTAGGCGCATGGGTATTTGGGCCGTCGTTGCTGCAGACAGTGTCTTGTGTAGCTGGCGTGGGGGCAATGTGGGCATCTTGGAGGTCAAAAGTGTGGAGTGCGTCCTTGACATAGTTGTCTTGGACGAGGCTAATTGACTGGTCAGTGGTTAAAAACCCGAACACTGAGTAACCAATGTGTCTTTCCCATATCCTTGTAGCTGAATTGGATCTTAGTCTTGAAGGTAGGAACGTCGGAAGGATGACGACCGCAGATAATAATGTCGTCGACATACAAGAGAACGACACAAGAGATGTCAGGATCGTTTACAATAAACATGCATGGATCTGTTTGAGAGAAGCCCATGCCGAGAAATTTAGATTTGAGGAGGAGATATTTCTTAAGGGATAAAATGTAATCGTCTGGAAGACCAACCGAAGCAGATATGGAGGGTGGGCGCATGTAAATGGGTTCGTCAAGGTCAGCGTAGAAATAGGCGGTATCAACGTCATTTGTTTCAGGGTTTAGGCGAGGACAGTACAAAACCTGAAAACGGCGAGGACAGTACGCAAAGTCTCGTGGAAGCACGTGGGAGCAAATGTCTCCTCATAGTTTATGCCCTGCGTCTGGGAGAAACCTCGGGCAACGAGCTGGGCTTTGTATTTATTCGACAATGCCGTCGATAAGCTTGACTGTAAAGACCCATTTACTAGACACGATAAACGCGTCGTCTGGGATATCGTCAGGTTTGAGAAGATCGTAAGTGCCAGAGTTAGCAAGGCTAGCGAGTTCACGCTCGATAGCAGTGCGCCATAGGTCCGCGTCGTCGCTGCGAAGGGCGGCGCGAATAGTAGCAAAGGTAAGGGGGTTTTATTGGACCACTTCCCACGCGGCGTATATTATGTGAGCAGTAGCATTGTATAATAATAGGTGGTGATTGAGAAGGGGGGGGGAGGGGGGGTATGGATTTTGATAGGAATGTCGTCAGAGGGTTCCGGATAGAGGACCAGTCGGGGTGGTGATTTGGATTGTATGGAGTGGACGATATGATGTATGAGAAAACGGGCTCGAGTAACGAGAGCGCGACGGAGTTGTTTAGAAGCCTGGTCGACGCGCTTGGCGCGTTTAAGGTGATGAACCGCGTTGGTGTATTTCAGCTTGAGTGCGATTTCTTTGGTAGAGGTGACAAACGGACGAGTGGGATCAAGAGGTGAGTGGCGAGTACTAAGGGGAAGGCCTGTGTTTTCAAGATCAGACGACCAGTGCACATGTGGCGGGGTGGAGACTGAAGGGGAAGGAGTGGGTAGGGGGACAGTGATGTTGTTTTGGGCGTGAATATTGTGGGCTGCCATCTGTTTGGCACGTTGACGTGTCATACGCATATTATAGGGTAGAAGAGGTGGGTTGAGAGGATCAGAATTGGTGGCCGGGGGGGGGGGGGGGGGAGGAGAAGACCTTTGAGGGTGCGGGAAGAAGGGTGTCGAGCAATGTGATAGCGAAGAGCGGTATTGACTGTATCTTCCAAGTGGGGGGTGGACGTGTGGCTGCGTGGTGGGTCGGGGATGTCGGGGGCGCCATCATCAGAGTCATCGGCGGAATCAGAATTGGAGAAGGCGGTGGGAATATCGGAGTCGTCATCGTCGGAATCTGCATGGTTAAAGCCGTGGTTGGAAGCCTCTCTTCGGTGTGAGTTCTTCGCTGAGTGGGAGTGCTCCTCTGAATTCGAGGCCTCCCCTGGATCGGAGTCCGCCTCTGAAGGATGAATAGTTGGAGTTGGTGTGGAGACTTGAGCGGAGTTGACCGTGTGAGAATGAGACGTGTGGGCGGCAGAGTGAGAGGGGGACGGATAGCAGGAAATGCTGTGAATGGTGGACTGAGCGGTGGGAGAGAGAAGGGGAACTTGTTTAGAAGCAATAACAGAACAGGCGTTGGTGAGCTCGCGGATGGTTGGGATGTCCTGGGGTGGAGTAATAAATTTAGGAAGAGGTGTGGTGCCAACGGTTGACCAGGTGGGGAACACCCAGTCGTTGAACTTGACGTCACGAGAGTGACATATTTGACCGGTTTTGACACTATGGATGCGGCACTCGTCGTAGTATTTGGAGTGAGTGTCATGACCGAGGTAAACGCCTATGTTGGCAGGATCATCGAGTTTGGTGTAACGGTCTTGGTTGATGTAAGCCGCTTGGCATCCATAGACGTGGATAGTTTTTAAGCGGGCGTCGGGTTTGGCACCATAGAACAATTCCCAGGAGGATTTGTTGTCTGGATTGCGCTTGTTGTGTTGATTGGCTCGCAGAAGGGTAGCGTGACGTATGGCTTCAGCTCACATTTGGGAGTGCTGTTTGCAATGGGCAAGTAAGCTGAGCATGATATCTTTGATAGTGCTGTTGGTGCGTTCGACAAGGCCGTGGGGAGCAGGGGAGTTCGTGGGGTTAAACAAGACTTGAACGTGCTGGGCCGTGTTGACGGCTTTAAAGACACGAGGGGTGAATTCACCACCACGATCACACTCCAGTTCGCGAAGGCGAGAAAGCTTGTCCTTGCCAATATCAGTGTAAAATTAGTCGAGTGTAGAGGCGGCTTCATCGTTGGTCTTCAAGGGATATACAAAGGGCATACCAGAGTTAGCGTTCACGTATTTAATGATGGATGTGCAACTAGTGACGGATGCTGGAAGACCTGTTTCAAGATCAATATGGAAAACGGTACCCACGGGTGGGCGGGTACAAGAGTTTTTCTGGGTGTGAGAAATAGGTCGGCGGCGCATTTTGCCTTGAACACAAGGCTGGCAAAATGTTTCGTCACGAGGATGAGCGATCACATCGGCTTGAGCAGTCAAGAGTTCGGCAGTGTGGGGTACAGCATGGGCGACATTCCCGAGACGAGCGACGCAAATGTAGCGCCAACGTGGAGTACCGACGACTTCGTCACCATTGCGGAGAAAAATATCAGAGGAAGTGCGGATGACCTCAAAATGGAAATGAAGTTGACGGAGTGTCTGTTAAAAGCAAACGTTGTTGGGCGATAACGGAAAAATAACAGTGACGCAGCCGTTTTCGGCGTCGAGCTTGTTCAGCGCAGCGGTTCAGACCTTCTTGGTGAAAGGAATATTACCATAGAGATAAGATTCAGATTGATTCCAAGTTTGGGCGAAAGCGTCGTGGAGAGGTGTGTCAGGGTCGAGACTACAATAAAGAGACATCTGGTCATTGTTGGTACTAGCAAAAAGATCGACGTCGACGTTGCCAAAAGGCTGGACGACATGTTTTTGAAATAAAACGGGATTGAGTTTCCAATTGTCAGTGTTGTCACTGCGTTGTGTATAAGTGTCGATGTTATTATTCTGTAACGTACGTCGGAGCATACGGGGATGTGTGTGTCCGGAGATATCATGCCAGTCGGCGAGAGTGGTGGGTGTAAAGGTGGCAAGTTTGTAAAGGCCGTTGGTGTCTGGGGTGTGTTGTACGTTGTCGTTTTTAGGGTTTAGGGTTTGCACTCGGTGGGTTGAGTCTCGTCGCGTTGGGCCGGAAAAGTAATGGTAAACCCATGGCGTTGTAAGAGACGGATAGAGAGGATGTCTTTATCTGCTTGAGGCATAACAAGCACGGCACCAAGACCTGGGAGGTGACCACAATGAGTGAGGGCGAGTTGGGATTTGTCGGGGAATTCCACAACAAAAAGACCGGTTTCAAGTTTTGTGACGCCGGCGGTGGTGTTGCGGATGTGAATCATAGCACCGGAGTCAATGAGAGAGTTGGCGAAGGAGGGAGATGTAGGTCCAGTGTGGTAGATGGTACTGTAAAGGCGATAGTGGTGTGAAGGCGGAAGGATAGTGTGCTGATGTGGAATAGGTAGAGTGGAGGAAGAAAGTATGGCAAAGTGGTCCCCGTGGCTTCGATGAGAACTCATGCAAGCGGTGGCATTGTGGCCGGTGCGAGTACCCTTGGTGCAGGATAAAGTAGTGCGGTCGACAGGACATTTATTGCCTTTTGTGGGTTGAAGAACCGCATCGGCGACAAATTGAGTCAGGACAACCGAAGATACTGTGGCCAGATTTGTTACAAATGATGCAATTTTTGCGACGAGGGACGTTGTTGACAGGAGGTTGAGTGGTGTCAGGGTGGGTTTTGAAAGCAGACAGACCGGAGATAGATTTCAGGACTTTCGTGTATACGTCATCGATAGACAGAGTATACAAGTCACGGTAAAATTATCGGAACGTAAGCAGTTGTATTCGTCACCAAGACTGTAGAGCAAAGCACAAGTAAGGTATTTGTCAGAAATCACTTCACCGACATAAAGAAGACGTTGCCGAATTTATTCAAGAGCCTGGAGAGTAGTGTCGGGGGGACCGGTGGCAGTAAAGCTTGTGAGTACTTTCAACGCAGTCCAGAATCGGCCATGACGGTCGGTGTTGGTAGTGGTACAGATGTGTTGGAAGAACGTATGAGGGGGTTTAGAAAAGTGATTTTTTAGACAGAGTTGATGAGGGGTTCAGCAATAGAGTCGATGAGGACGCGACAACATTTGGCGTCAGCAGCCATGTCTGGTCCGCTGCCGACAGTAGGGTCGTTGCATTGAGGATGGAGACGGTGGAGAACGCCATAATGCTCCAACTCTATGCGAAGCACGACGATTCAGTTGCCGGAATCAGTGTGGTCCTTAAGCTGAGAGCGTTTGTAGGAGTCTTTGTATTTGGGGTATTCAGTGACAGATCGAGTAGGCCTGGCTGGGGTGATGTTATACTTTTCAGCGAGAGTCATGGGAGTACGGCGAGTGTGAGGATCAGAATTGCGGCGATTTTCTTGAAGGGCAGACTGAAGAAGAATTTCAGTGTTAGCGAGTTTGATAAGGAAATCGTCTTAGCGAGCCTCAGTGTCAGCGAGTTTGGCGAGGGAAGCATCCAGGCGAGTTTTAAGGATGTTTACTTCGCGGAGGTCACTTGCGTGGAGATTGTGAGCTTGATTAAGCTCATACTCAGCATCGACGGCCTTTTGCTTGTCGTGTGTGGCGTCAGTGAAGGTTTGGTCATTTTGTGTCTTGAGACGGTTGGCGGTGGAACGAGAGACAACTAGATGCGCGAGAACCTGAGCAGTAGACACTGGTATGTCATAACCAAATTTCTTGAGCATGTCAGTAATGCTAAGAAGATGAGTGTTGGCTGCATGGAGACTGGTGTAAATGGGACATCCTGGCCAGTTACGTGCGTGGAATGTTGGAGCCTCATCGAGAAATGCAAACTCGGAAGGAAGAGTGAAGACTTCGATTGCGAGGGGAGCCATGGAGGAGTGGTGATGGACTGCATGTGAACTCGAAGCTAGAAAGATGGACCGGCGGAGCCAATGTCAAACTGACAGCGAAATAGAGAAGAGAGTTGTGACACAGTAAAGACAGATACGTGTAGGGGATGAAGAAGAATAGTAAGCTAATAGGCCCATAATCTGTTAGAACTATTGAATCATGTAACGTATCTCTTTATTTCATCGTAAAGTAAGGGTTATATATATCCTTCACTTAGCCATCTATAAGTATATTGTTCGCACGTAAGTGCAAAGTATTTCTGTTCTGTGTCATAACTCTTATGACATTATGGCAGGTGTCAGTTTATCTTTGTGTACAATACTTGGTACCGAACTGATATTGTATTTGTAACATCCGTAATATTTATGACAGTGTTGGATTTGTCTTGACAAGAGCCAACCTATGGTGACGAGTTCCAAAACCACCTTGACCCCCGACTCCTCAGCGGACGACAAGGTCGAAACTTTAATGGCGGTGGCTCTACCTCCCAAAGCGCCCGAAGGACAGAAGGGTACTTAAAAGTCCAAGAAGTTAGGAAGTCAAAGGAGGAGACCAGTGACGAGGTCATTAATAAGTCCAAAGAAAAGAAGGGTGAGAAAAGCTTGAAGAAGGACTCACTGTAGGAGGTGAAACAACCGGAACCTGAACCAGAACCGTAAAGCCGGACACCATAATGACAAGTGGCCTTGGAATCGGAATCGGAGGAAGTAGAATCAAATTCGGATCCGGACACCGACGAATACATGCGAACGTTACAAAAGTTGGCGTCCGCTTTTGATAAATACCAGAAGCGGAAAAAGATCAACAAGAGGAATTTTAAGGTGGAAGATAAGTCGAAAAGCTCGAGCGGGGATGAGAGTCAATCATCACCAGAGTTCGATACCAGCCGCCGTCTGCCAAACGATTGAAGACGTCCAAGACTACAAAGGCGATGGCCACGCGAAGTCAGGACCGGAAGGACGATGATGACGATGATGATGATCAGTGTCTACGTGGCATGAAGGGGACGGATTCACCGATTGACGAGATTTTGGAGAATGACAAGAAAATTGCTGATTTCACAGCTCGGATGCTTAATGTGGAAGAAGAGGCGACGCTAGCAATATATCAAGGGAGGATCGAGCAAGCCAGGCCGCAAGATGCGCGTGTCATTCTAGATGTACGAGTTGACGGGCATGAATAAAACGTTGTTGGTTCCGGGCTCGCAAATTTCATGTATATCATCGAGATTCTGTAAGATAACTGATGTAACTCGTAAATCAGAGCCTACTATGTTAAAACTAGCTGGCGAAAGAGAAATTAGGTGTCGTGACATGGTCCGTATTTACCCTCACTGATCAATGGACCACGGTCACAAAGGCAGTTGTCTGTATCACTTCGCCAGACTATGATTTGATAGTGTAGCCCCCAGGGACCAGATTATCAGAAAAGCCAATCCTAAACCCAAAACCCAGGATTAGCAAATTCTGAGTTTTGGATTTAGGATCCAATATTTCTGATAGAGCGATCAGAAATATAGCGGAAATACCGATAGATGATACCGGGGCTCCCGCGTGTGAGAGAAACACTTAAGTAAAAATTAAGTCGAGTGTAGAAAATACTAAACACAAATAAAGACTCAATGCGAGTCCTTCAGCCTAGGAATTTACTTAGCTGAGAGATTCGCACTTAAGAAGAGGTCTACTGTTTCCTTTGGTCGTATCTTTCGGTTACTCTCAAACTATACATTTTTAACAATATTCTTACCACGGTAAGTCAAATAATAGGAAAACAAACTTGTTATACATCAGGGCCTTAGATAATTTAAGGTACAAAATATTTTAAAAAGGGACTAGAAACAGCTTAGGCCACGGAGCGGGGTCAAGAAGAGAAGAAGGGACACTCAACGGGTCAGAGGAAGCTATCCTCTAACGACACGGAAGACCAAGGGCAAGGCAGAAAGAATACCAGTCAAAAGAGTAAAAGAAGGAAAAAGAAACATCTCTGACAGAAACCAACGCCTGATAACCCAGGTACCCAACAAGAGTTTCATGGTTGTATCAAGTAAGTACCCAACAAAGTGTTTTATTTCAGTGTTCTAGGCAAAGAAGTTTAGGCGTACCCTAAGGTAAGCGTATATAGGTAATCCCGAGTGTACAACCCCACAAACATATTTCTATAAGAACAATATCAATGTTGGGGAGTGAAAATTTACAAATGTGTCATTGTAATTCATTGTAATAACTTCTTTTCTGAATTTATGTGGTGTTAAAAAGTCAATAACACAGTGTAAAATAGTCTACGACAATCAGCTAGTGATTCCTATAGGAAGCAAAACCATCTTAAACTCCAGAAACATCCATAATAACCAGCCCATTTAAATGTAGGAAGCATAGATCGTATAGCAGGGAAGACATCCAATGCGGTTAGAACAAGGATAACACATCACACTTATTGAGCTTAAGGGCGCAGGAACAACTAAGGTTTTCAGACAAGGAAAGGTGCACACAGCACTCAGCAGTCTAAATGCAACATCTAAGTACATGTACAAATGCTCATAGTCAAATTCAACATCTACGTTCTTATTTACCCTCTAGTAGGCAGTCCTGCTACGTTAGATTACCACGACATTACCAGACTGTTAAGAAAGAAGTCTATAAGACTCCATAACACAAACCACAAAAAGAAGAAGGCGGTGTCCACACGCGATCTGGAAATCATACAGTCAAACAACTCATGAGCAACAAAAGTACAAACACTACACAAAACTACATGAAGTGCAGACACGCTCCGAACATTCAGCGACATAATTTCACAACACAAGTGGAATAATGCCATACAAACGAGGCCTAGACCAGTGACAAAATTAGAAACGCGTAAAAAGCCAACAAATCATACATCAATCATTATACATGGATCATATTCCTCAATATCAGAGGTGGAATATCCAAACACCACCGCCAACCGACAACAAAGAAGGTCCCTCAACTCCAGAGGTGAACCATAACCCATCAAAAGGAGGGAACAAAGACAAGAATATATGTATATAGATACAAAAGAATAAAGACACACCAACAGAGTTCAAACATCTGATGCAATCATATCGAATGGAATTCAGAAGTCTTCCCCAAAATCAGAGAAGCACACAAAATATATTTTAAACTCACCACTTCATACAAAACAAAGCAAATGTCAACGGGTTCGAACTAATCAATCACTGACAAATCAGGCATCTCTAATCACGCAAACCATCTCATCAAAACACGCTCATGACTTAAATCAAGGAACAACACATGCAAGAATATAGCAGATGAATAAAGCACATGTCACGAAAGATACGTTACATCACATCCCCACAACAGGGACCACACGCTCACACACGCATATCCAACGTAAGATTAACACATACCACTATGATCACAGCCTTAAAAAGGAGAGATTAGCATTGAAGATCAGAATCAAACAAACATAATCCATTATCAGTCGCAGACTGACGTAAATAGTCGATACATAGACTAGAAACAAGAGTATTACACACAAGAAGATACAATTGCTACATCAAAAGATAACTGTGTAAAGGCATAACCCGGGCTGATCGCAATAGATCGTTTGAGAAGAACACACACTTCGACTGCAACAAGTGAAGTCAGCACAACCTAAAACTTTTGGGTGCAATATTGAGTCTATATGCTGACCTTTTATCCGACATCTACAGCTATCGAGGTGAATATTATTGCGGATTGGGGTCGTACGGGTGTGTCATGAAATCCCCGCAACCGTCGCGACTAACCAATACGCGTACCTCGAAGGATGCGATATCTATCTTCATATTGCTTTCTTTAATCATGGGGTAAAAAAAAATACAAAAGCCGGAGTGCTATTCTAGCACTCGTATCTGAGTTCGCGATCGGCGGCAAGTTTACCTATAGCTTCTATGTTTCACTGTAGAAGTCATCATAGTATTGAAAGTGCCGGTTGAAGCGCAACTGGCGGGTCATAGGATTTGAAACTAGCATACAATCCAAGCTTGCTGTACAGCAAGGGTAAACATAAACTTAAGGATACGTAGGTATGACACGTACGACCTGCCAGCACACTCATTGACGTACATTAGGTCACATAAGAGCACCATGCAGTTCCCAAATCGAATATAAGCGACAGCGTACGATCGTAGAGAAGACAAGGAGACCGTAGAGCACTGACACATATCCGAGTACCTCAGAGAAACACAACACGTGAATCACCTATCAAGCCGATCAATCAACGCGCTAATTAACAAACCTATTTATATTCACAGAATACTGCCCAACCCAGAACTATTGCCTGATCTCTGGTGTAGCTTTTTACTAGAAATTTGAAGTAGCCGCTCTCCAAAGCGCAGTAGCCTGTGCTGGTCGTGTCGATGTCATGCACCCACCTCGTCACTCCCCTGACAACTTGGCGTCAACAAAGGCTCCAGCTGTCGCGCATACGGAAGATCCAGTGATCATTCTGTCATACTGAATAATATTAGCCCAAATGATGTTGCGGTAGTACAGTGCTCCTTTGTGGTACAATTCACGACATATACAGCGCCTACGATCAACCGTCTCTTAATGCGATTACGATGCAGGCATGCTCTCTAGCGCTAACAGCCTGAGCATACTCCACTCAGTGGCAGGTTCGGAAACCGTATTTTCTCGCAGGTCACACCACGCCAACTCGAGAAAACCGCTATGGTTCCTAACACCCGCAGTGAGAGGACCAACATGATTCTGTATTCAGTACTACATTGTCCACGTTTCAAGTCGCTATATAAACGAACTTCAACACAATAGTGTCGGCGCTGTAGTGATCACGAGGTGTCGAACGCTGAGACGAGAGAGAGGCTAATAACGAGAGCTACAGTAGTACACAGGACTATCCATCCTCTGCTGCCAATAAGGCAACCATTCACCCGTCACACTTTCATGGTCTCGCATTGATCTGCACTCCATCTGCACTTCTCCGAACGTATTGAATGTTCATCCTAAAATGTCTGGGCGACAACACTGGGGCTCATCTTGTCCAGATTACCATAAATGGCGGAAGTGGGCTTTCCTGCTAGCATTCGGCGAGCCTGAAGCGGTAAAATATAAACGTAGATATTCTGGTTTGATGGAAGCAACACATGAGCTGGACATATATATATATATATAATACAGATCAAAATCAATATCGAATCAATATCAATATGGATTTAGATAAATCAATACTATTGTATAGTAAAGTAAATTGATATACGGGTCTTTTGTACTGTGTATACCGGTGGTGTTGGCCACAGTGTGCGATAAGAACGAAATTTAAACGAGACTGTGCGCTTCCCAACAGCTTAAGTATACACTATCTTCCACTAGCAAACAAAACATGACACGTTTGAATAGAGAAAACAATTTGATCCCACCAAACGTCTGCGGCAAAAAGCAACACAACGTACCACTCGCCCGAGATCTTCCTTCGTTACCAGATCGATGTGCCGGCAGAGCTCCAGCGGCTGGATGCGTTTGCCGGTGGTTAAGATCTGTTTGCTGATGTCATCGAATTGGACCACTCTGCGGAGAATGCGGCGATGGCAAACAAGGACAAGCGAATGAATGAATACCGAGTTGGTGTAGTGAGGAGAAGGTTTATGCGTGCAAGAGCGATGCAGCATACCAAGTGCCACCTATGGCATGCAGAGAGGCTATCCATGCGCCTGGAGGTGTGTGCAGTACTAATCACGTACTGAAAAAAAACTTAGCGTACTAATGAGCTATAACTTAACGTACTAATGAGCTATAACTTAACGTATGAATGGGCTATAGCTCAACATACTAATGGGCTATAACTTAACATACTAATGGGCTATAACTTAACATACTATTGGGCAATTGAACCAACACGTATGAAAGACCATACGAATCCAGCAGGTCAAGCCGCATACACAGCGAATGGAGACTTGTCCAGGTGTGTACACTCAAATCATGAGTTCAAAGGGTAGGTACAAGCCACGGACATACATGATTATTAAGGACTTATCCAAGAGTGTACACTCATATCATGAGTCCAAAGAGTAGGTGCAAGCCACGGACATACATGATTATAAACGCAATTGTAATATACTGGCCTAATACAAAGCCTAACGCCTTTATTGGCCAGGGTCACAAGACGATCAAGGGTATAGGGTTTCAGGGTTTCTAAACACTAAGACGATCAAGATGTATGAATAGAACAAGTCGCACAACAAACCCAACGGACAGGGTGTAAGGCACACAACGGTACCCAGACAATAACTTACCTCGACTCTAAATTCATGAGCAGATGCGACTTCAGCTGATTCTGCGCACGCGACAGTTCGGTATCTGTGACAGCGCTGGCCATGCCTTCGAACTCTTCTTCCATCACCTACAGAAATAAGCACAGACACGTGTCAATAGTATAAATATATGTATATATAGATAGACATATATATACATACACAACGCATACACGCACACAAAAACAGACACAGACACATTTATATAGTAGTTAAATACGAGCACACGGAACAATCGCTCCACAAACGCCAGAGTACAACACCTATGTGAGAGACACGGAAGTTCGGACTGTCACGGGCAAACAGGCACAAGTGATGTGAGAAATGGGCGCTGGAGTATACTTCAGTAGGTAAATTCTGACACACACACTGACACACAACCAATCTGTATGGTACTAAGTACACACTAGTGAGAGCTTACTACGGCTACTGGACATCACATTCATTATGCCCATGGGATGTAGTCAACACCAGCGGTACCTGCAGATGCGTGTAACTACCAACGGACAAGCGACTAGATGCTTTGCCCAGGCACAATGGTCACAAGACACGCTCTGGTCATAACCCAATACAACACTGTGTTATTTATACAACACACTTTGTTATTAAGTCAATACAACACACTTTGTTATTAATACAACACACTCTGTTATCAAATCAATACAACACTCTGCATGATACGGCTATGGCTACGCGTGCCCCTATACAACAGTGGGCGTGGCTCAGCACTGCATAGTCTGCTGCTGCCATGTATAACGTTACATGTCACATAAGCCATGTTGTTGCTTACCCGCATGAGGTTGTGCACATTCTCGTCGTCGCAGGTGCCGTGCATGTAGAACAAGCCTGTGTCCTTGTGGCTGGTGAGTTGCGCCATACAGCTCTCAATCCAGTAGTACCGGTTTAGCACCTGCACGGTCAATAGTGGGACGGGATGTGAGCAACATAGTGTGGTGGCGATGGGAAGGTCAGGATAGTTATACCAACTGGCGCCCATTCTTGGTATGAAGCTTCCTTTGGGCTGAACGGATGTAACGGCAGCGTGAATATACTAGCCAACGCACCACAACGCACCACGAGAGGAGTACCTTAGTTATAGCAGGACGACGGCAAGGTCAATTCACAAAACATGGGGGGCTATCAAAGGCGTCTGTGCAAACCACAAGACTCTGTTTATTTGCAAACAACACCATTACACTGACTAGTTAAGTACTTATCAGTGGGGGGTCTTTGGTCGGCTATCATCACATCCAGTGCCCACGCACACTCTCGAGTACACTCGTACACGGACAATACGTACAACATACATATACATATAAATATACATCTACATATAAATAATATAGATATATATATAAATAAATATGAATAAACATATGCATATGCTATATGCAATTCCTACATACATATTGTACTATACACTACGGACACCGGTACAATAACTGTACACCCACAACAAAACTCCAACTATACTCAACCGCTATATATAGTGCGACTTCTTCCATACCCAAACACAACACATAAATCGTACTATATCCAACCACTGTGCATACAATACAACACCACATACTCTACCCTACTCTATTCTACCTACCCTCCCCACCCAAACCCTGGTCATAAGCCTAGTGCATGCAACACATACTCTAAACTCGCCTTAAAATCCTAAACCTGCTCTATTCTACCTACCCTCCCCACCCACACACCCTGGTCATAAGCCTAGTGCATGCAACACATACTCTAAACTCGCCTTAAAATCCTAAACCTGCTCTATTCTACCTACCCTCCCCACCCACACCACCCCTCACCCTGGTCATAAGCCTAGAGTGCATGCCCTTGCCCGGCCCACCCGCACTGAACGAGGCACCCCCACCCATCAGCATCTGCAGCGTACACAGTGCATATATATCGTCATGGTCCCAGGGAAGGCCCTCATACGCCAGGATAACGTTTGCGTGCTTGAGATCGGCGCTGTGCTTCTGCAAAGCCCCGCCTACGTACGTCTGAGGCGCAAACTCGGGCAGAGGTGTGGCGGGTGCACTGGGTACGTTGGCAAAGTGCTGCTTGGTCAGTGACAGCAGTTTCTCGTGCGGAACGCCGGCGGCCGCTACCACCATCCTGGGAGCGATGTAGTACTGGGAATGGAAGGGTATGTGCGTGTGTGTGAGTGTGTATATGTGCATAAGTCGGTATGTGTGAGTGAGTGAGTGAGTGAGTGAATGTATGTGCATGAGTGTGGGAACACGGATACCAGTCTATTTGTCTGCATGTTGATAGACGCGAGTGGGAAAAAATCCATACGTATATATCAATGCAAAAGTGAGCGCATGCACAGAGCTATACGCCAACAGCACATATCAACCAAACAATCAGGTCCATGCATTCAACTGTCGCCCACACCACACTCTACCTTCTGAAACACGGGCACATTTTTATCGCACACACACACACACATATATATACATTCATAGATATACAGTTGCGTAATGCGCACACACCTGCTTGTGGTACTTGTGCAGTAGTTCGGGAGTCATTGCGTTGATGGTGTCGTCTGGGCAGATCAGTGGTTGTCCCATACTTGACTGTGAGTAAGCGGCTTCGTACATCAGCTCTGTGACTGCGATTTCGGGCCGTTGCAGCATATCCTCCTTCTCAAACAGCACCAGCTGTCTCTGTTCCTCTATCTCGCTCTGCAAAGGTAGGACGGTTGTCAGGAGACTATGGGATGAGTATGGTAGATAGGTATAGGAGCAAGCTGGATGGGGTTCTAGGGTTTAAGGTTCAGGGTTTGTCTGGCTCGGTTGTTCAAATAGAGCATACAAATATAGCCTAGAAACAGACATTGGCTACATGGCATGGATACACAAATGCTACAGAGCTTCAGCTGCGGTGAGTAAAACCTATCATTAAACAACGAGGCCCAGATAATGTTGGGCTGTGTTGAGTGTAGTGGGTCTTGATAACTACACGCACAAACATACACATAGACTGACGTGCATAGAAGCATACGCCAACATACCTACAGTAGGTAGCTATGTCTTGCCACCATTACACAACATACCTACAGTAGGTAGCTATGTCTTGCCACTCATTACACAACATACCTAGTAGGTAGCTATCTCTTGCCACTCACATACACAACATACCTACAGTAGGTAGCTATCTCTTGCCACTCACATACACAACATACCTACAGTAGGTAGCTATCTCTTGCCACTCATATACACAACATACCTACAGTAGATAGCTATCTCTTGCCACTCACATACACAACATACCTACAGTAGGTAGCTATCTCTTGCCACTCATATACACAACATACCTAGTAGGTAGCTATCTCTTGCCACTCACATACATACGCTGATGCGAGCAGGTACGTATGCAGCTATGCTTCAAGGGCAAGGCAAACACATACTTGTGCGTAAAGTTCGAATCATAAAAGTATATCGGAAAAGACATTGGCATACGACTCAGCAATCAACCCAATTAAAATAAAACACACATATACATATGCACGCATGTATCAACCCCCCTAAACTCACACAGCCTATACCGTCCACATACACACCTGGGCCAAAGCAGGGTTCAACACACTCTCCGCCAACAATTCCATAGCCCGATCCACGTCCTTGTTGAACACACACATGTAGTACACCATGCAGTCTCTCGAGCCTTGGCAGAAGGCACTGCCACCGAGCTTCTCCAGTTCAGCAACCAGCTCACGCTGTGACGATGGAGAGTACGTAGTTTAAATATTGAAAGGAAGGTGGATTGTATGTAGAAGGCATAGGGGTCTAGGATATTGAAAGGAAGGTGTGATTCAGATACCTTTATTATGAGGAGGTGAACTGTATGTAGAAGGTATAGGGGTCTAGGATATTGAAAGGAAGGTGTGATTCAGATACCTTTGTTATGAGAAGGTGGATTGTATGTAGAAGGCATAGGGGTCTAGGATATTGAAAGGAAGGTGTGATTCAGATACCTTTATTATGAGGAGGTGGACTGTATGTAGAAGGTATAGGGGTCTAGGATATTGAAAGGAAGGTGTGATTCAGATACCTTTGTCATGCGAAGGTGGATTGTATGTAGAAGACATAGGGGTCTAGGATATTGAAAAGAAGGTGTGATTCAGATACTTTTGTTATGAGAGGGTGGACTACTGCATGTTTTAAGTTGTAGGTGCGGCAGTGATATATAAGTGATATATAGTCACTGCAGGCGGACGCTACAGTTCAGTATGTACATGTGTCGATGCATGCACTTCAGATATACACACGCACATACATACATACACACACATATATATATATACACATACATATATACATATAGCATATATATATATATATATAGATACACACACACACACATATATATATGTATACATACATATACACATATATATATACACACACATATATATACATACATATATACATATAACATATATACATATATACCTATATATATAAATATATAGATACACACACACACATATATATAATAAGCCCACGTTGAAGCTAACTTGTCAATATCTATAAATATCTATGTAGATTCAACACGCGTGTAAAATTATGCACGCACACACACACGAATATAATGTATATATATATATATTTATATACACAATTTGAGTAGACATTGTAAGAAACATCAAATAAATAAGTGTATGCTGTTCCAAATCACATGTGTACAGCACAGTAATAAGCAGGGTATGTACATTTGTGCAGGTTCTTTCCAGGAATAGTACACATTTGAAGCATCTATTTGTACACGTTTATATGCATCCTGTTCCATATGTACGGAAAAAGAAACCAGCACCTGTGAAACGTTTGTACACGTTCAGGCAAATTAAATACATACTTCAGTGGATGGTAGTTATGTATATAGCATGACACTGATGCAGTGGTGTAAAAATAGATATAGATACAAAAATATAGATATAAATATAGGAATAGACAGGTATACATACACATACAAACATACATACAAATACATAACTATATTAAATAGTATATATATATATAACTATAAC